CTTTTATTTTTTCTTGTTAATATGATTATTTCTAGATACTTTTATTTTCAAATAATAATTGTAAAATTTATAAACATTAAAATTGTTATTGTATATATTTTATAAAAATAATTTTAAATTAGGAAGCAAACAAAATCTATTTCTATTTTCTATATTTTTGTAATTTAAATATTTTATTTGATTCTGTTGGTTTTCTAACTGAAATTCTATTCTCAAACTTTGTGTAATAGCTGAAGATGACCTAAAGTCGTTTGAAAACAGTAGCACATCCAGAAATTTAACACGGGGATGAGCTTTTTAGTTGAAACCCCTTTAATTAATTTAGTAGTATTGAATGTTCAAATAAAATGGCAATGCAAAAATATGCAAATTATGTGTTATATATGTTATTGTATATGATTTGGTTTATAGAAATTGAATCTATTATATAGGCCTAAATAATAATCACATGAAATCACTGAACAAATCACACACACACACAGGTTTATGTGATTTGTTTTGTATGGGAATGTGAAAGGGGAAAAAAGAAAATATTTTATTACATTACTAAATATTCGAAAGCTACAGGTTATAAGAGAGATGGTGATAGAATATAAGTTTATTCAGGTCTACAATAATACGAACATTCTTAATATAGAAAAAGACAGAAAAACACAATAAAGTAATAATGGTTTTTACCAGCAATGAACTTATCAGTTGCAGAGGAAAGATCAGTGCTACAGCAATAATTCTTTCAATGAACAAGATTGAAAGTGAAGAAACTCTCACTTGATAGATTGTTGATTGTAACAGTTCTTGATTAATTTTAACTTTGAAAATATAATTATACTCTGTTGCTTCTGCAGAACGATCATTTTCAATAATTACTAATATGTTGATTTAATTATGCAAAGCTTATCTGCATAGTTAAATCAATGTTTAAGTGAACACTCTGTACACAAACTATGATCACACTTACAATAATTATTCAACAAATTTTATAACTATGAATGATTCTCAATAATAAATATGAAAATTAATACTATATTACTAATAGTAGACATTCCAGTAGTAATATATAAGAGAAGAATATTACAGAAATATCCATTCTAGATTATTGCTCTCACTGTATAGATCAGTGCTTCTCAAAGTGAGTGATATCACCTCCTGGGGCATTGCATTTTTGAAGTCAAACAGACAAATATAAAGTGAGGCTAAATAACTGAAACAAATATTTGGTGGGCTAAAAATAAGCCCTGGCAAGGGTCCCTGTGTGGGGGTGTTACTACTAACAGTCATAATCAAAGAGGGTGGTGATCCAAAAAACTTTGAGAAGCACTGATAGATCATCAAAATCTTCCTCTCCGAAAGAAAATTTTGCTTCCTTTTATACCAGTACTGAATTTTTGGTTGCCAATACTGTATATCAACTTATTTTCTTTTATAAAAGAATTTGTAAATTAAAAATATTTTCTAACTTATTAATATAAAAGTTTTGGTAGATTTTTTCTTTAATTCCTATGCTATATAATATTTAAAAATTATCTTATCAGTGTTTTATATAATTAACAGTTGACAAAACATAAAAAAAATGTACAAATGAAACTTTCATTAAACAAACTGTAAAAGTGTCCTCTTTCGTTTCCCCTTCAAACACCATCAGGAAATAATAATTTCATGGTGGAGATGACCTTTATTTGGAGGTTACTTCCCTGCTTCAACATGCAAAACGTTAAAAATGAGGGACAATGAAAGAGGCCACTTTTACAGTTTGTCCAATGAAAATTTCACTTGTAAATTTTTTTCAAAGTATACTTATGTCCCAGCTAAAAACTTTAATCATATAAGATGTTTTGTTAACATTTTTTATTATATTCCAATTTTTAGTATTAATATTAACATAAAATTATGGGTTTTGTTCAAATGAAGTGAAAGTTTTCAAATTCAGTTTTAAAAAATATTAAGTGATATTTTAAATTTGTTCTAGATTATGTATGTATGTATGTATGTATGTAAATAACTGTCTTTCTCAAAGTTTTGACATCCATGTAACTCATTCCTCTTTTTTTTTTTTTAATTACAATCTTTTCAAATACCATAAAAGCAACATTTATCACTACTTGAATAGGAAAATTCATACAAAATATATTATACATTGGGAAATAATTTATAATTACAGCAGCATCAGAATTGCATCATTCCCAACTGGAAAAAAGATCATGATTGCTTGAGATGCTTAAACAATATAGTCACATGGAAAGAATTAGTAAGACAGAACAGAAGTGCAAAGTATTCTGTGTAGCTTACTGACCTGTGAATGTTCATATGAATAATAAAAATTTTAGATCCTGAATTAATTTAATTAATTTTAAAATATACATTGTTTCCTATGTAAAATAGTTGTTGTTACTCATCAGTAATGTAACCTTTGCCTTTGTAAATGAATAAAGAAAAAAATCTGAATGTGTCAAACACACTTATACAAATGTATACAATATCTAAAAATTTACACTTTATCCACAATGGTATAGGAATGAATGTAGTTTTACATGTTCTAACTCAACTCTCCCAAATATCTGTTCTAGTTATGCTATGGTTACTCATCCTTCTCATATTAGATAGCCATGAGTGGCCACTGGATTAGAGTATTTTTTCTTAAACATAGCTGAAAATTGTAATGTATGTACCACTTAACAATTCTATCTCCTGAAGATCTTTTGTGTACTCCAGAATACACATACAACACTTTGGGAAACATTTGTATAGAATTATAAAAAGCTTACACCTACATGATAATATAGTGCATTTTCAATGTGAGTAATGCACATTTATTATATAAATATTACACTATGTTTCATGACTTGGCTGAGCTGCTGTGTTGAACAATAGCAATGATGAATCTATGCTAATTTATAAGTAATAGTTATATACATTTGACGATCTGAAGCACATTTCAGATCATTGCATAGTGTGAGAAGCCAGAGACGTAGAACTAAGTTCACGCCGCTTACTGGCGCACGATCGTGAGATCAGCTCTCTAACTTTTTATAGGAGGACGAGAAAAATGTTTAAAAACAATCTAGAGAGTGAATTCTAGATCTTGTCAGGTCCCGACACCAGTTAATCACATTTATATTTTGCGGATTAATACGCGAGTAGGGATCTGATTCAGGAAACAATCCAGAGACATGTCTTAAACAGTAAAGTAGTAAAATTTAATAAATCTAAAAATAACAATATTCTACAAAAAGGGAATTAGATAAACAATCAAATCAAACGATCAAGACGACAAATAGATTACTCAACTGCGTCGAGAGAGAAATGTATTCTTAACCTATACATTTACGAGAGAGAGAGCTCACAATTCCTTAAATAACATACAACCTGTTAAAGGAGCTTTGTCGTCTTCTTATCAGCAAAGGTCCTTCATTTATGAAGTTCTCATTCTCCTATTCATGGAGAGGTATTGTTATTCCCAACATCTAATATATCTTGTATGTTCTGGATGAATATTAACTCGGTAGCATTCGACTATGGCCGTTGGTCTTATGGAGCCTGCATGGACTTCGTCTCCCTCATCTGGGATCTGTTCACGAACTCCTAAGGGCGTTGGCCTTCGAGAGCAAATGAGTGGAGTCCTGTCACTTTCAGATCTACCGACGAACTCCTCGAACTCTCCTAAACTTCGCCTATATCTTCAGATTTACAACCAATCATCATAATAGAATTCTTCCATGTGAACGGATGGGAAGGGAGTTAAATGAGGGGGTAGATAGTTCCCATCAAAGAGAGATTTTTAACAGATAAAGGGAAAAACAGAGGATGCTCATACTTCCGTCAAAGGAAGTGACTCTCCTAGCTGTTTTCCCACGCTAGAAAAATGTTATTTTCCCATCAAAATGAAAGAATAATTTTCTGTAAAGAGTTTACTTTAACTTTAAATTATTATTTTAGACCCGGGGGCTATTCAGATCTCACAATAGTCTTATTAAATAATCCAGAATCCCATTCAGGTAACATGCAGCTTTTGGCCAAATTTCATGTTACACAATACCTTCACTGTAAATTAGCTTAAGAAAACACTGCTACTTTTGTTTGAGCTAATTTAACAATGCTGATGATACAAACATATTCTTACATAATTAATATACTTAATGTTTTGATGAGCTAGAAGCTAGTTTTCAATTCCAAAAATATTAGAACACATTAATTCAATGCTATTTAAACTGTGCAGTTAAAATAAAAAGTATTTGAATTATATAGACATCAGTTCATTAAGTTATTTTTCATATTGTATTAAAAAAATATACATTTGATTAACATATTTTCTTTTATTTTTATGAAAATTTTAATAAACTAAAAAAATAATCAAAAATCATCATAGATAATGCTGTGCAATTATGTTTTATATTTGTTCTTGCTTAAAAATATATATATATATATGTGCTTGCACAAAAAAAATGATTACACTTTTATCTTTTTCTTATTGTTTATTACTAAGTAAATGGTAGATGATTTTAAAATCCTAACATCTCCATTTCAAGGTTTTGACAACCTTGTAATCTGAATTTCACAACTCATGACTCTATGGATGAAACTTCCGTAAATTCAAACCAATTCAGCTGCTTTATAACTATCTCCTGGTCCTAAAGATTCAAAAGAATTAGATGTTATCATGTAGAAATATGATTCTTCTATTCAACTTTCTCTATCACAGAATAATCATACTGGGCTTTAATAATTTAGATTGTTCTTTAATTCTGTTATACTCTCACTATTGCTGTATATTCATTCTTGCTGCTATGTTTTTTTCTGTCTATGGCTGGAATCCTATCTATTTCACTAAAGTGCCAATATTTAAGGTCCTTTAATTTCAAAACAAGCAGTTTTTATCTTAAATTTATTTTTATTTCTTTATGGTTTTAACACTTTATGGTTTTAATATAGTTTTTTATGATTCTTTATATTTTCATATACATGTGTATAGATATTAAATATAATGTGAATCATTTTCATTACAGACTATGTGCAAGCATCAGTCTGGTGGTATGAACAAGTCTCCTGCCACAAATGACAATAGTGGCTTCAATGAAAATAATACTGGTGTGCTTCCTTCTTCGCAGTCTAATAATTATGCTGCAAAATCCATTAACGAATGTAATCAATGTATGAATGCCACTAATGAAAGAATAAATTTTACATATAAAGAAAATATGGCAATTGGTTCTCATGCAGAATCATCTTCATCTTCCGACAAAGGTTATGATGCAGAACAGGCTGAAATTCAATGTAATAACCACCAAAATAATAAAAACAAGGATGAAGAATTATTTAAAAAATGGTGTGAACAATCAAACACTGATGTTGCAGATTATGATGATCATATTTCTGAAAAATCACCAATGTTACAAAATCAAGAATTATCTGATATGTTACCTGCTACATCTTCATGGCATAATTATCAGTTATCTCAAATATCAGATGATGATCATTCCATTAAATCCACAAGATCTGGATCTGGATCTGAAATTCCAACAACTTCTTTGCACAATACTGCACAAATCTCTGAATACCATAGTGACTGTGATAAAAATTCAGTTAATGCTTATTTACAATTCCAAGATGAATTGGAACCTTTATTCCGACCTTCTTATGATTGTATTCTAATTGATAATGATATTAAAGTGAATAACAATATAAAATCTCAGTTTCCAGGAACAAGTTCTCATAATTCCTCATTAGTACAAAATTGGTTGTTTGGTGAACATCAAAAATATCTTGCTGATGAAGTATGTGTTCATAAAAGTTGCATTTCAAGATCTAGTATTTCTGGATGTACTTCCATGCATAAAAATGAAGACAGTCAAACAATTAACAGTATTGATAATGAATCATTTATTGGAAGTAACAACAGTGATTTACTAACAAACTCATCAATCAATACTGTACCAAAAAACAACATTTCAGAATCTATGATACTCGAAAGGCCAAACAGCATTCAATGGGAAATAAATAATCTGAGAGAAGGAGCTGAATTTCAAAGTCGTAGTTTCAGTTTATCACCCACAGTTAACTTTGCAGTGTATGATGTGGAATCTTCAAGTGAAGCAGATGATGTAGCTTTTTCAACTTCGAAATTTCAAAGAAATAGTATTCCACAAAACAAGCAAGAAATTATGAATCATTCAGTTATTCTTCCAGGATCATCATCAACTGCTCGATTAAGTTTAGCTAGTAGTTTTAGTGACCATGGAGGGCCTATATGCAAAATTTGTCATACTGTAGGTAGGGATGATGATCCATTAATATCACCTTGCCGTTGCTCTGGAACAATGCAATATATACATTGTGGATGCTTAATGGTAATTACACAATTACTTGTATAAATGTTAATATCTTAAAGTTTGTATATATGTATTTAAAACAGTCTTTAAGACTCAATAATTGACAAAAAGAATAATTAAAATATTTATTTTAACTTATTAATATCATCATCCATATGTTCAATTATCTGTTTTTCCAGAGATCAAGATGAATGAAGAAATTCCAGTTAAACCCTAATAGTTTGGGTATAAGGAAGAAATTGTACTATCTTTTGGCATTAGAATTTGTTTGTTTGATGAATAAAATGCAAGACATTTTTGACATTTCAAAATGTCTTCCTCAAGCAAAAAAAAATATATATATAAAATTTTTCACTTGAGGAAGATATTTTGAAATATCAAAAATACTTGCATTTAATTCATCAAACAAATTCTAATGTCAAAAGATAGTACAATTTTTTCCTTATACTCAGTCTTTTGACATTAGAATGTGTTTGTTTGTTTGTTGAATTAAATGCAGTTATATAACAATTAAACAATTAAAACTTTATATGCTCACATACCAATGGCATGTGATGACATTTGATGATAGGGAAGCTGTGCTGGCCCTGGATAGAATCATTGGATGCGTTGTACGATATTTTGATGTGTAGCATCCACAAGCTAAACCTCATGAGATTGGTGCTCTGTAAAGCTCATGTGCAAATGCCTGTAATCTAGCTGCTTTACATGATTCAAATATTTTTGCTATGGAAGCTGTGTATTTGATAATATGGCACTTTCATTGGGAATATGCATATACCAATTTATATTCGAATATATATTAGCAATCTTATCATTTTTTCCACATGTATAGAAATTTTTAATCATATACATAATGCAGTTATAATAAAATATTAATTTTAATTAATTCAAAGTATGTTAAAATATGAAAATAATCACACAATATGTATTTATATTTTAGAAAATACAAGGGAAGCAATGCTTCCACAGCTTCCATGGAAGGCATGCCACTGTCACATACATAGTTATGTTCATAAAGTTGAACGAGTTAAACAAGAATAACGTCATTGTTATTCTTATTTCGTTAGACTTTTTGAATGATTCATTCATAACTAAATGGCTATTTCTAAAATTGAAGTTATTTCTATCATTTCACTTTCTAATTCACAGTTTAAACCAGGGGTGTCCAACCCGCGGCCCGCGGGCCATGTGCGGCCCAAGGCAAGTTCCAATGCGACCCAATAAACGTGTAAACAAAACCGACAAATTTTTTAAATTTTGTTTTATTTATCTATTTCAATGGCATAAACTCAATAAAAGAAGTTTCACAAAGCCATAAACTTTTATACATATTTTATTTTTGATTGGAAAGGAAATATTTTCAAATACTTTGAAACGTGTGAATGAGGAAGGAATAGTTGAGACTCAAAGAATTACAGATCCAAATTCGGGGAAAGGAGAGAAAGGCCAGAAGAGAAAAAGTAGTTTTTTTTTAATACTCTTTCTGCCCTGTGGGCACTAAGAGGGCCTCTTATAGCAGGCCCATTATGGGTTCGGCCAGACGGAATGGGGCTACTGGGTGGTGAGGGACGGAGCCCGACATATCCAAATAGACCATCCCCGAAAAATTCCTGGGGATTCCTCGACCTGTCTGGATTTGATCCCAGGTCCCCCAGAGTGGTAGGCTGACACCTTGACCGCTCGGGTTAAATAGAATTTATGTTATGCAAATATGGACCCTTAATTTTCCAATCTTCCTCACTTTTTTATCTTTTGTCCTTTCTCTCCTTTTCCCGCATTTATAATCCTCTTATCTTTCTCACCTTTTCCCGCATTTATAATCCTCTTATTTGTCTTTCTCTCCTTTTCCCGCATTTATAATCCTTTCTCTTTTTTTCCCGCAAGGTTTATAATCCTTTGAGTCCCAACTCCAGCTTTATTTAGTATTTCCTCCAGCGTTGCATGATTTGGCTATTTTGTGCCAAAGTTGGCTACCCTTTTTTTTAGTTTGGTGTAAAAAATCTCATTTGGTGCATTGGCTACTTTTTGGGCAACATATTATTTATAAATATATTAGTCTAATAAAAATGCACTTTAAAATGGTATTTTGTCAATTTTTTATTAATTAGAGACCCAAATAAAACAAATATTTGTTTTTTTCAAATAAATTTTTGTTTGTCTCCTTTATAATAAATGAATTTATCTATTTCTAAGTAAAAATTGAGTGTCTGTAGAAATAATTCTTTAAAATATCCTTTTTTGTGATAAAGATTTAATACTTATTAATATTCTCTCTCATGATTACTAAACCATCAAATGTATTTCTTCCATAAGCAATTCTGCTTGAAAACTGACAGTCCGAATTATGAAATTCTCCACTATGTCCTACAAAAATTTGCATTATTCAGCATTTTGCCAAAATTTTAGTGCGCACTATAATCTGTTTATCACGTGTTAATCCTTAAATATACTTGTATATTTAAGGATTAACATACTTGTGGTCCAATCCTTAAATATAAAAGTATTATATACAAGTATATATAATATATTTGTGGCCCAAAAATCCATGACATCTTCCAGAGAAACAAAAAGGTTGGACACCCCTGGTTTAAACACTCGAGTAGATTTAGAAACATTGATATCATCACGCGCCATTTTCTTAACAAAGTGAACTAACTCTTTCCTTCATGAACTTGCATTAGAGTTTTGTTTGAAATGTCATCACTGCAGAGCATGTGCACTGAGCGAGACTACTATTTTTCGAATGATTCGTTACTAATGCATTTAAGTCGTTTGACTTTACAAATGTACCCATAGTATGTGAGCATATAAAATTTTATAACAGTTTGGGCTTTTCCATCCTTGGTATCTATTATTGTATTGATACCATAGAGGATGGGCTGGAAAGCCCAACAATATTTGGGTTTAACTGTAATTTCACTTTTTTTAAAAATCTTTATCTCCAAGAAAACAGATAGCTATAAGTTTGAGGAAATTGGAGAAACAAATTTTGTTGATCTTGAAACTATAATATAGTAACCAATATAAAGCTATACTTACTTATAATACAGTAGAGCCTCAAACTCGGCACTCGATAACCCGGCATTCCGGATAACTCGGCCACACCCTGGCAGGGCAAAAAAACCCTTAGTTAATTAATTTTCATTATAGACAGCTTTATGCCTCAAAGTATTTTTCTGAGGTCTGTCTTATCAGGTAAATTACTGTACACAGTATGTTCATTAATTTTCATTTTCATGTTGTGAAGGCTCTATGCCTTCATAAAGTACGTACTTTTCCTTTGTTTAAGTGTATTTGGGCAGTTTATTCTCTGTTGTATTCTCAAGCAAACAATACATACAAGTACAGTACANGTTAAAAAAACCTAAGTGTAGTCTGATTTCTACTGTATGTGCAGTGTCCATGCTGAAATGAGGTATGGTTTACAAAGAATTTATGTGAGTTTTTTGGTTTTTATTTGTGTCCTGTTAAATATTTTTATATATATTTAGTTAGCTGAAGAGGGGCTGATGCCCGAAACGTTGATGTATGGAAAAAACGTTCTAACTAAATAAAAGATTCAACTAGCCCAGTGTTGAGAAAAACGTCACTTCATTGTGCCTGTACACAATAAGCAAATACAACACGGTTTCGACAACATCAATAATTTAAAATGTTAAAACAATCTTTCAGTTCATGAATAGTTTGAAAAATGTTGCTTATTTTTCAATATAATTCTATGCTTTGTGGAAATCATGACATTTATTCAATTTAAGATACAGTCTTCCATTTCTCTATAGAAATCTGAACTTTTTGTTTTAGCCACTAGTGAACCTCATGTGTAACTGCTGTCAAACATGAGATCCACCAGTGGCTCTACATGTCTGTTTCATATAGAGACAGTTTTCAATTATTCCAAACAGCTTCTTCAACACAGGGTATAGGATCATTTGTTGTTGAATGTCTTCCTCATCACACAATTTTGTTTAACAAAATCTTGGCATATTATTGCACACTTTACAAGATATTACAACTCTTTCCATATATCTTTTCTAATTATTGACAAATATCATGTAATGCAGTTCTCTTCGCCCATAAAAAATAAAAACAGATTATATTCCCATGTTCGAAAATTAAACAAGACATATTTGTACTGACTTGAAGATTTCATTTTGTTCATAACAAACACATCATTTGTTCTTTTTTTTTCATATATGTCACATGTGCAGGAAATCATCATATAATACATCACCACTAAATGTCATTACACTTGCAAACTTTGTTCATAGCAGGAAAATGTAGTAAACTTATTGGTTCCTATATTTGTGACTAATTAGAATTTTAATTTGGTAATGATATTCTTGAAGACTGTTTTCTTCTTCAATATGAACTTTGAAAACTTTTTAAAATTTAAAGATTAAAGTAAGTGTTTTCTTCCCTACAAATTATTATATTTAATAATCAATTTCATAATTTGTATCTATATTAATTTTAATAGAGATGGTTAGAAATTTCATGCAAAAGATCCCGTAAACCACCAAGTTGTGAATTATGTCAATATCAGTATCACTGGCATAAGAAATTCAAGGTAATTGATTAATAGCAATTATAGTTACATTATTTAATATGTAATATACAATGGTATGGATGAATTGATTAACCTTATCTTTTATTAATTAAAACACATGTAAAAATAATAATGAAAATGTGTGTGTAAATATAATCAACAACTTTTGATTTCCAACTAAAGAAGTATCTACAAAATCTAATTTTATCTAATAAAAATTGTAAATATATAAAAATTACCAACATCATTTTACTTCATCCTATATTATATATATAACTAATACAAACTAATTAAATACAAAGAATTTTTAATTTTCTATAGACCTAGACAAAAACAATTATAAAAACAAATTGTATGGAAAACTGCACCATGTAATTTGTTAAATATTAAATTCATTGTTATTTTTCATGTTTAATTTTAAAAAGGGAAAATTTATCCAACATTTATTGCATAAATGCTACTTTTATGTAAATACAGCAAAAATTTAACCACTTAGATTACAGTAAGGATTTACCATTTATTTGTTATTGTAAATCATATTTATCCAGTAAGAGAAAGTATAAAATCAGGAGGTTAAATTATTTTGGCAAACTATTGATAGACATAACAAGTTATTCTTTCAATCACCATAACAGTGTATTTCTATTAATAGGACTTATCATACTGGTGTATAAGATTACAGCAATAAAGTGATGTGCATAAAGATCAGGTAATTGTAAATAAAACAATTTTAATCTGTGTGACTGTGTTGCTGTAATCTTATACACCAGTATGATAAGTCCTATTAATAGAAATACACTGTTATGGTGATTGAAAGAATAACTTGTTTAAATTAAGGACATTGATGCATATTAATTAATTATTGATAGACATAATTCAGCCTCTGTCTGGTGTGGCTAGATATATTTTTACTGTCTGAATTTTGATTTTTATTAGGAAAGAGTATATGATTTACAATTACCAGTTTTAATAAGTCATAATTTTTACTTTTTCCTAGAGTTCCTGGGGACATGACTATTGAAACCAAAATAAAAGCTTTGTTGGTTTATAATAACTAAGGTTAAAATTTCCATGCAACATACAATACTAAAATAAATTGATGATTTATTATTATTCTAAGTTTGACTTTAATTTTTACATCTTTTATTATTGAACATGACCTTACATGAATACTCTATGTATAACAATTAAAATTTATATTAAATATCATTGCTCATAAGTGAAAACCTCAGTGCCACTACAGATCAAATAACTTTTGTGTCATAGTTATGCATATTCCGCAAAAATTACAAAAACATTCGACCAATAGAATTGGCTATAATGTAATAAACTTATATATAATTGGGTAGTCTGCATTGCCAAGGAAACTGTAAATGATTAAATCTTTTTCTGTTGTTGAATTTAATAGTAAATCAAGGTAATTATGTGATTACAACTTACGTGAACCTTTACATGGGAAAATCTTACAATATTATATATAATAATAATAATAATAATAATAATCTTTTGTTGCTCCTGTAAAATTTGATTCTTGACACTTACCGGATTATACATGTCAATGGTGATATACATATTTCATGCCGCATTTTAATCAAACATACTATATTTCACACAACAAATTTACTCACTTTTGTGGATTTTTTAGAAAGCAAAAATAGGACAAAGCAGTTTTGCTTCTACAGTTAGTACCTGTTGAGGCTGTAAAACTGTAGTTTCATAGATATTTTACCTAATATATGGTTTAACTCTTCCTTGTAATTTTTAGATTATTATTAATTCATCAAATGATTTCTAAATATAATAGTCAAACCCCTGTTAAAACAAAGTTGAGAGTAATTGAAAATTGGCACTTTGTATTACTAATGAGGCTTGTATTAAGTGAATGTAGCGAAAATCAAGTTATACCATCAAATAGCAAAAGCCAAATTTTCTCCAAGTTATTTCATTGTTTTATCTTGTTTGGAAATGTTTAATTATTTTTAAACTTGCCAGTTGCTCCAAACATATACTTGTGCTACACTGAGATACAGAGGCTTGAAGAAGGAATTATATCAACAACATCATAAGTGTTGTGACTAACATTAAAGTCAAAAAATGTTCATTGATCATGATATGAGATGTTGCCACTGTAGCTTGTGTGACTTCAGAAAAGATAGAAGCAGTATGCTTTGTATTAAACAATTTAATATGATTGTTATTGAAGTCACAGGACCACAACATACTATTACATTATATATAACATTACATATTAACCAAACTTGTTAACATTGAAATACCTATCTTTATTCAAAAGACTGCAAATCTATTTCACATTAATGCAGACATTGCATAAACTAATAATAACTGGGTTTGATGGTATTTTATGTTACAATTAGTGAATAAATATAATAAAAACAATGAATCAATTATATAAATGTTATACAGTATTAAGTTACATATATGAGAAAATATTTTTTTTTACATAAACTGATTCTGTTATTCAAGAAAATGACTATAGAATTTGATATACACCAACTCTAATTGAGAGAGAAACTATTTTACATTATGTAAAATAAAAATATCTATTTTTAGTCATTGAAATATTTACATTTAACAATCTTTCAACTGGTAAATAATGAAACATATTTCAGTCTAAATATTTTGTTACTTTTAACACTTATTTTCTAAATTTATTCTGTTGAACATAGATAGGAAATTGAGCTTTGAACAATAGAAAAATCAATTGTGTCTTAATTCTCTGACAAATAATTATTGGAATGAAGCTCTTACTCACTCAATGTTAATGAAAATAAATATTGGTACATGTTTTATATCTTTTATTATTGAACATGTAATTCATTCCTAAAATTAAAATATATACAGGTAAACCCCGTATAACACAGGAGTTGCGTTCCAAAAAATTGCCGTGTTATGCAAATCCGTGTTATACAAAACAAAGAACTAGTGTGAAAAGGGGAGTTAGGGTACAAAAATTAAAAAACACACTGTTAAATCCTTATTTAAATCGGATTTACTATTCATTTTTTTCAAAGGTAAAATACTTATTTATTATTTAAGTAAATATTTTACCAGAGGATTATTCATCCTATATGATGATCTCAGCATGAGCATCATCAACTGGTAACAGTTTTCGGGTGCGTTCATTAACAGCGGTCGCTCTGCAACGGGAGTGCGCTGCTGTTTGTAGGCATTTAGGAACGACGGCGAAAGAAAGATGGCAGCGCCTGCACTATTGATAGTATCATGATTGAGGAATCTATAATTCTAAAATGAGCTTTTAGAGGCAAAAGAAGGGTCCCAATGGTTAAAATTTAACCATTAAATGAATTATTATTGAAAGAGCATCCACAAAAACAATTAGAATGCTCACGCGGAAGTATAAAAGAATGCATCCTTTATTACATTTCATGTTGTACGAGGGTTTCACCCAATTCTCGAACTGTGTTAGAGTGAATCCGTGCTATAGAAGTGCCGTGTTATACGGGGGTTACCTGTACTATATTTCACTTTTTGACACACATTAATTTTAAATTTCTGAATAAAACTGGCAAAACATCTGTATTGTTGCCACCATTTTGATAAAAGTTTAAACTATAATGAAATTAATTTCAAATTCTGTATTAATACTATTTATCTTTTGAACAGGTACGTCACTGGCAGTTTCCCCATTGTTCTCGCAGAGACATAACTTTGCATATTATGTTCTTTCTTTCGGTTATTGTAATGATTGCATGTGCCACAATAACAATATTGTGCTTCAAACGAGACAAAGGTACGAAAATTGATCCCGATCGCACCGAACTAAATGATTCTGAAATTACAACATTTGTATGTGGCATCCTATTCTTCCTGGCATTTTTTGTTGGTATGTATGTAGAAATTAAAGCAAGAAACACTATATATAAATTACTAGTCAAATTTGTCTACCTCAACCAACAGTGGTACATCGACGAATATAACAAAAAAGAAAATATACCTGTTTCAGTCTGAAAAAAGAAAGAAGAATAATATAATCTGTCATTCCATTCATGATTTACATTTTGAAGGAGTGAAGTGAACATGATTCTGCTATTATACTGTATGATGAACTGGAGATTACATAATCCAGTGTTCTCTACAATTTTCAAAATGATCTCATAAAAATAACAAATGATAATAAATATATTTAATTCAAAACCAATGCTCAAATGCACAAGAACTGATTTATGTCTTATGCTGTTTTACTTCTTATTGTAGCCGAATGGATTTGAATGTGTAGAAGGAAAGTAAAGATTTGAAAATAGTTATGAAATTTTAATTTATTATTTATTTGAAATACATTAGATTATTATTCTAAGTTTGACTTTAATTTTTACATTTAAAACTTACTTTTTTTCAAGATTTTTAATATTTTTTATATGTATTAATTAATTTTATCATGAATATGAAATTCAACACAAGATTTATCATCGTGCAGTCATCACTATATATCATTCTACATTTATAAAAGTTAATGTATGCCTAACTTTTCATCATTTTCAACAAAATGAATATTACAGTTCATATAAAAACACAACAGAAATTACCAGTTTTCCAAATGAGAAAATGATGCATCTTAAATGAAAGAAGAGTTAAAAAATTATATTCAACATTTATTTATTGTATAAAGCCTAAGATTGTACATAGCATTATAAAAATTTCAACAGTACAGGAAAGTATATATAGTTCTGTTTTAATGTTAGGTATTAATAGAATATTTTTTGAAAGGTTTGAGAGAAAACAATTTTACTATTTTATTTTAGCAATTCATATTTTAAAACTTTGAAATTTCAAAAATATTCTAATATAGGTGGTATGATTTTCTCATTTTAATATATATATTATAATCAATTGTTCTAAACTTTTCAATATTAAACAAAGTAACCAATACAGGAAATTCCCTAATAACAAACTTCTCCCTGTATTGACCAATTGACAATCTCTGGCAAATGCTGAATACAAACATGTGGGTTTAGTATACAATGACACTTCACGCCAACGAAGTTATTATATGCTTATAGCGCTTACGTGTTACGAAGTTATTATATGCTTATAGCACTCCTGTAACGCCACAACACATAAGTGCTATAAGCATATAAAAACATGTGGGGTTTATTAAACTGTATAATGAACAAATATCAAAATATTCTGATAACATTCTTTATTTTGAATATATTTTCAATATTTCAAATGGATATTTTCAAAATAGTCTGCTGCAATAAGCCAATTTTGTTGCAGCAGACTATATTGAAAATATCTATTTGAAAAGAGGATGAAGACAATTGTGAGCATTACAATCTTCAACAATTATAGATGGTTTCAAATATACACAGGGAAAGTTAGCAGATCGTGCAATTTATCCTCAACTGGAATAATGTTGAAAAAAATTTGCAGCAGTTTTTATGTCAGTGTTGCAACTTTTTTGCTTAAAAACATTTATTTCAAACTTTTCATACCCTATCTAAAGGTTTCTGACAGTAAAAGGTAATGTTTGTTAAAATTAAAAGCTAGTTTTAGGCATAGATTTCCTTTATGAAACAACATTTTTTGCAACTTTTTCATAAGCATTTGTGTGAGTCTCTATTTATTTATGGCAACACTGCCAAAAGTATGATAGCTTGCAATGCCATTAGAAAACAGTTTACTACAGTAGTACAAAAAAGTTAAACATTCGTAATAAAGCATTGGAAAAACTATTTAAAAAATTTGTTTCTAAATGCATTTTATATTTGCAAAGTCAAAACTGATCATTTCAAATATAGAATTCCCCTGAAATTAAACACTCAAATTTGTTAATTAGGAAATTTCCTGTATATATATGT